TCTTTTGTTGTTGTTGTTGTTGTTGCAGGTGGAGTAACTGGGGATTGAACTCTAGGGCACTCAACCACTGATCCACATCCCCAGCCATATTCTGTATTTTATTTAGAGATAGGGTCTCATTGAGTTGCTTAGTGCTTCACTTTTGCTGAGGGTGGCTTTGAACTCGTGATCCTCCTGTCTCAGCTTCCTGAGCCACTAGGATTACAGGCATGTGCTACTGCACCTGGTGAAACTCTTTTTTGAAAGTTCTACCAGGTTGCAGGATCACCAGCATTGACTAAGAATTAAAGTTTGGTAGATTTATTCAGGATTTTCCATTCCTATCCCAGCAGATAATGAATGGATTATGGTGAATAGTAGATACTGAATAAAATGTTGCTTGGTGGTGAATGGTTTAGGAAATACAGCTGGGATTTGGTGGTACCAATAGCAGAGATAACATGATACCTGGGAAAAGTTGCAACAGAGATTGCATCGTGATCTCTGCTTTTGTGATCTTGCATAAGAGCACTTCAAGCAAGATATGAGACTTAGTGAAAGTACAGCAAAGTTTATTAGAAGAGAAAGTAGAAGGGGGAAGCATGAGAGAGAGAGAGAGAGAGAGAGAGAGAGAGAGAGAGAGAGAGAGAGAGAGAGAGAGAGGAGGGAGATTGTGAGAAGGTGCTGCCCTCATATCACTTATGGGCTCTGGATCCGCAAACACATTAGCTTAAGAACCTGAGGCAGCTCTCGGTCATCTTGGCCTGGCTGACAGGTCCTAATTGGAACTGGTTTTACATAGTTTATGGTGATAGGCTCTGGTCTCAATCATCCTGCTTCCCCAAGTCTGGGGATCTCTGGTCTGGGTTGTTTGTGTGGTGTCTTGTTTAAGACATCTTAATCAGGCCCTTCTGAGCAAATATATCCTTGTCCTCTCCTGAATTTATCTGTCTTCCTTCTATTCAAAAGGAGTAGTTTGTAAGGCTGAGACCATTTAAGGGTCCTGAAGTAGCTGTCCTGTCAGTTACATCACTGAATGCCAATGAGGTAGGGCTGTTGATTAACTCATTTGCTCTGTACCAAGTATTCCTAAAGGGCTGATCCCCTGCTCTTGTCTAATTTCTACCTAATAGTACCAAGAAAAACATTTAAAAATATACTTTAGTATCTGGTTTGCTAGTGAAGCCATTAAGAAGAGTCAAGATGCTAACTTTTACTGATCACTTTGGGCTGGTCAATTACAGAAATTTCTCTTAGAACCAGGAAAGGGTGATTAAAAAGCATCTCCTAAGTTCTGATAATACCATAATGCAACAGGATGGCAGTTCATTAATAAAAATTTGGCCATAGATTGTTGATTTACTGGTTTTCCTGTAGAAAAATGCTTTATTATTGTAATAATGTCTTCACATATACAATTCTGATATATGCTAAGGTCAAGAGAAAAAAGGAAAAAGAAATACCGAATGACTGTTAGATGCTGAATTCTCTTTTAAAATTGTCATTGAAATCTCCAGGTTATTCACATTTTACAGAGGAAAGACATCTACAAAAAACTGCTTAACTTGCTTGAAGACGAGGCAAGAACTGGCCTAAGTGGATAAAGGGTCAAGAACAGTACCTGAACATGTTAATATCCAACAAAATTGAATAAACAAATAGTTGTAATGCAAGAGTGACAGATAAAAGCAAAGGCTTCTTTTAGTGCTTATTTGCAGGGTTATGACCTAAGACAAACAGTACACCTCCAGAGTTCGGCTGCTTAAGTTCTATTCACCCCGCTTTTGGCTTGTATGACCTTGGACATTTGAGAAACCAAAGATGGCAGTATTTACTTCATTATGGTGCTGTTGTAACAAGTTAACACAAATCCAGCACTGTAACATGCTAAACTGTACACGCTGTGCTTAGTAATAATACATTAATTCTACAGATAAACAGATAACTGAGTCCTTAAATTTATTCGTGGTGACACATGGCAAGTGCTGCCGCTGGCGCCAGAAGCAGGCCTTTCATCCTATCCAACCTAGGTGTTACACTACGTCCCCACTCCAGCAAGCAGAGAGCCATCTTCACCAAGCAATTCCTTGCCTAAAATAACCATATTTCGGAGACTAGAGGACGCTCAAGGCTTCAGCATAGAGCCAGCCTTGCGGTCTTGTAAGATTGCTTGGATGCCTGCCAGCGGGCAGCGCTGATAGTCTCCTCCTCCAGGAGACGAAACTACAACTGTGAGGTTGCAAAGCTGTTCCTCCAGTTTTCAATTTGGTCCGAAGCCTTGAAAGTCAAGTAAAGTCATTGGCAACATGCTTACCCGATTTTGGTTTTCTAAGCGTTTGTTCCCAAAATAAGTATGTTTAGTCGAGGGCGGGTAGTAGGGGAAAGCGCCACCACAAGATGACACGTGACGACATTCAGGCATCACCAAACTCGCCATCCGCTGCCTGGCGTACTACAGTAGCGGATTCCCGGGCTTAAGGAGCACGCCAAGATCACGGCCACGGGGGTGGTGTACAAGCTAAATCGCTAAGACCTAACGCTCCATGGCTCCATCCGCTAACAACGCCTGGTGACTTCCTTGGTGCAACTCACCCATCAATTTGTCTTCTCATCTCGTAAAACCGCAAAAGCTAGGAAAATGACATCAATAAAGTATCCCAGCACTTTTTAGGAAATGTGGGTGGCTCTGAAAAGAGCCTTTGGGTTTAGTCAACGCGGCCTCAGGACCATTTACTTGGAACTGGTGTACTTGGTGACAGCCTTGGTGCCCTCGGACACGGCGTGCTTGGCCAGCTCCCCGGGCAGCAGCAGGCGCAC